AGATGACTTCGTGCTCCAGAGTCACTACTGCAGAACACTGTCACAGATCAGGGCCCTGAAACCTTTCACTACAGAGAACCCTGACTTCTTTTTGTGGCCATCAGACAGCCTGTGTGCTGCATAAACACGAGACTCTGATCTTAATCATATCTGACAACTCTTTCCACTTAAAATTATATGCCTCAAGTAAGCAGTTAGGAGGTCAATGACAATGCCGACATTAAAAGGTCCTTCCCTTCTTAATGCTTTTGCTCTAATAGCTTTCAATGTGAAGTAGATGCTATTAGAAAGCAACACACACACACACACACACACACACACACACACACACACGAAGGCTGGAGAAATGGCTCAACAGTTAAGAGCACTGGATGATTTTGCAGTGGTCCTGGATTTGAATCCCAGCACCCACATAGCAGCTCACAACACTCTGTGACTCCAGTTCTACACTCTCTGATGCCCTCTTCTGACCACCATGGGTATGTCATGCAAGTGATATACAAACAAATGTGAAAAAAATACACATAAAATACAATGAAATAAAAATTTAAAAGAAAAGGCTCTTCCTCCGTGTTACAGGGATCTTTCCTAATGACTTGCCTTCATCCAAAACACCTGTGATCCCAAATGAGCATCACTATAATTAAACATTTATTCTTTTCATACTAATGTTCTAGCTTTCTTGTTTGGGTGGTGTTGTGGATCAAACCCAGAGCATCACCCATGCTAGGCAGCACTCCGTCATTGAGCTACATCTTCAGCCCTTCTTCCGAATCTTTTGGACCATCTGGTTATGTTCTTTCTTCCCTCCCCCTTTCTCTTTCCTCCTGAGTTTCTCAATGGTAAAGAAAAGGAAGAAAAGGGGAGAGAAGAGTGTCATGGCCCGGCATGTCTCAGCTTTAACCCAGGACAACCATGAGGTTCTACCTGAGTGGGGGTGTGTGGACCTGGAAGCTCCTATTAACCCAGCAGCGATAAAGACCAAACACAGGCATCTTCTCATCTTCAGAGAGCTCTCAGTTCCATGTTGTAGAACTAGAGTCATTTCTTTATTAGCCATCTTTTCTGCTGTTTCTTAACCATCCTGTCATGACCACGAGGGAACCATCTCTCTTTGTTCTCTCTGCTCTGGTCACTTGCCCCTAACCCCTAACCTTCTGTCCTCACAAGTTACTCACAAACCTCTGCCCTCACTTTCCAGGTGAGGGTCTATTCAGATGCTCAGGTCCACAGAGATGCAAATAAGAGGCATATTACCCTGAGGCCATGGTAAACAATAGTAACCTTACAGGCATTAACAATACAATAGGGGGCCAGAGCTTTCTGGTGCTCCATGTTTAGTGAGACCAAAGGCTGGATCTCAAAATATTCCATAGTGGAAATATTTTGGTCCCCCACAGAAGAGTGTACATTATATACAGGTATACATACAGAGAGAGGAAGAGGGACCTCATGGTATCTTCATATATGAAGAAATATTTGCATGTATTTGTACATAAAATCTATATATGTATTGTATACATATACATGCTTACAGTAAGTTCTAACATCTTTATTATTATTTTCCAAGGTTGTCTTCATAAGTGGGTAAAATTTCCATAGATACATGTGAACACACACAAATAATGTATATATAGAATATATACATGTCTTCTATTGAAGGGACCAGCTCCCCATTTCGGCAGCTATAACAGTCGAACACGTGCTTGTCTGACCTTGCCTTGGTCACTAAGAGGTCAGATGCCTGCCTCATGGCAAGGAACCAATTAGAAGTTAGCTGGTGGTGCTATGCTTTATGGCTCTGGTGTGCTTTATGGACAAGTGCACAGCAATGACTCACAGAGCATAGCAACCACCCTGGGAGGGCCTATGGGCCATAACAACCAGTTGGCCAATCAACACAGGGCAAGCCCTCCAAGCCTGGAGCCACACCAATCCTGAGCCTGTGCGTACCCCTAGACACTCCCCTTACGCTGCCCTACAAGATCTCTATACAGACGCTTTGAGCTGTCTTTTCTAGCCATCCGCCATGGTGGATAGATGAAAGACTCGAGCTAACATGGGGTTAGCTCGTTAAACAATAATAAAGCCTCATGCCGTTTCCATCAAGTTTCTGCCTCCGCATGGTGATTGGGGTGGCCGTGGTCCTGGGCTAAGATTCTGGAGGCCTGAGCTTCTGGGGGTCTTACACTACAAACATAATACATGCATATAACATATATATATACACTATACATGCATTGCCATTATACTCATACTATGGATATATACATAGTTATCTGTATACAAGACATATGTACTTTATGAAGGGCACACACCAGGGGGAAGTCAGGAGGGTGAGTCCAGAGATGTTTACAAAAAAGGGTGATTGGTCGCCAAGATTGAACCAGATGAAGTCACTGCATGAATGGCTCATGTTCACTAGATAAAGCATAGGGCGCCTAGGTGCATGATAGCTTGACCTTTAAAACCATTGGCTGGCTGTTTTCCCATTCAGTGGTTTTTTGCTTTAAAATATGCTTGTTGTGGGGTAATAAAGGAGTTCCTGCTTGACTAGACTCCCTGCTGTGTCTGATTGTCACTGGGATCCTGGAAGCTGGGGAATGGGTCAGGGGTGCATTTACCCTTCCTAGGACCCAGCTCAGCCTTCTGTGGTTGGGCTAAAACCCTGCACTTTATATATATGCTATGTGAATACTCACATATTTATATGCATCTATGTAGGTTATATTCATTTATTAATATGATCCTGGAAATAAACTAAAAATCATGTTTAAAATTATTAAGTATAATGGTTAGCATGGAGAATCTAGAATTGCCTGCAAGACAATCCTTTGGGCATGCCAGAGGAGAAAAACCTTTTGTTTCTTGTTTTTGTTTTTGTTTTGTTTTTGGGTTTTGTTTTTATTTTTGTTTTTTGTTTGCTTGTTTGTTTTGTTTTGTTTTTGAGACAGGGTTTCTCTGAGTAGCCCTGGATATCCTGGAACTCACTCTGAAGACCAGGCTGACCTTGAACTCACAGAAATCCTCCTGCCTCTGTCTCCCAAGTTCTAGGATTAAAGTGTGCCATCATTGATGACTGCATTCACTGAGGTAAGAAAAACTGACTACTGTGGGTAGCACCATTCCCTGGATAGGTCCTAGTGGAGGAAGGTAATGAGTGACAACAGCATGGTTCACTGCTTTCTGCATCCAATGGTGAATGGCATGCGATCAGCTGCTTCAAACTCCTCCTACCTCACATCTCTGCCACAATGGACCACACATGAACTATAACCCCTAATAAGCCCTTCCACCCTTAAACTACTCAGCAGAGTATTTGGTCACATTACTAGAGAAGAAACAAAGACACTGAATACTTATGGCTCTTACAAAAGTACAATAATACACTTAGTTTGATATTTTTGTTGTTAGTAATCTTCAACCTTTTGAGAAGAAATATTGCTAAACTCTTCATGTGGTCTTAATTTCCTTTCTTCCCCAAACTGTCATAGCCAAAGTAAATCCAATGCCTCATAGATTTGAGCACTGGAAAACCTGTGAGGCACCCCAAAATGTGACACTAACAGGCCCACATATCCTGCTGAAGGCCAGCTTATACTTCTGCATGGCACACTCTTTATGTGTCCCAGACAGGTCTCTACAGACTAACTGTGCTGTGTTGTTGTCCCAGAGAACAGACGACCTTCCCAGGAAGAGCCAAGACCTCCCTGCTGCCTACAGGCCTGCTCCTCTGTTTCCTACAAACAGCTGGCTGAGCCTTTCCTCAGGAGGAATGTGGGGTGCTGTTTTTCTATGGACCAGAAGGTCTGGATTTCTACCAAGCTGTATTATTAATTAGCTATGAGTATCACTTTCCTTCTCTGAGCCTCAGTTCCTGTCAACCCAGGGATTTGAGAGAAGTTATCGCTAAGCTTCTGTGAGTTCCACGGTTGCTTTCTAACTTCCTTAGTCTCCTCTCACAGATGTGGATGTAAAAAATGCCACTGTTATTCCAGTCTATTCCATGCAGTAGAAATGTTTGAGAGTTTAATGAGAGTTAAATACCTTTCCTAGTACATACAAATTAGGAATCTGGGTAACAGATCTGGCAGGAGTCAGTACTTTGAAAACTGATCTTGCAGGTAACATCCCATCTACTAACCGAATCATAACAGAGGAAATGGAATGGAGAGGCAGTTTGTAGACTAGCTTTTCTCACTTAAGAAGTCCGGAAGCAACAGAAAAAAAAAATGATAGCAATCCTTTTGGCACAGACTTTGTTGGGACAGGAAGATAAAATCTAGGAGAGCCTGAGCAAGATGGATTGTGGAAGACTCAATTCTTTACTTGTCCATTTGCATTTGATGTGTGAAACCATATGCTCCCTTCACACTCAAAAGAAAAAGGTACATAAAGTTAGTCAAACATAAAATTTGCACAGCATTTTTCTTATGCTCTCATAGGGTTTATTTTGCTCATGGCTGCTCTCGGATGTAATCCTGTTTCCCTCCTCCCTGTCCACCAGAAGAAAGGGGAATAGCTTACAGTGTAATTAAGTAACATATTAGAGCCTTGTACCAGGCTGCCAATGAGAGGGAGAGGAGCCTGTTATTATTTTTTTTTTCTCTTCAGAATGAATAAATGCTTACTTCATGGAACTTTGAATCTAGCAATGTCTTGCCAAGGTCAGACAAGACATGAGATTTTACTTGAGCAAAATAAGTCAGCATGAAAAATCACATAACTGACAGTCACTACTTGTCTTTCAAAGAGCCTTAGACAAATTCATCTTCTACCACATCCTTTTATTGGTATTTCCTATTGATAATTATATAATAAAGGGGACAATTAATACTACCGGTGAAGTATTTCATTTTTGTAAACTATGAGTGTGTGTGTGTGTGTGTGTGTGTGTGTGTGTGTGTGTGTGTGTTTGCGTGTGCAGGGCTGCCACAGCATGCATGTGAGGGTCAGGGAGGTCAGAGGACAACTTTTGGGAGTCACTTCCCCCTTTTCACCTTGTTCCGAAAGTGCATGTTGCTTCTGCTGCTTTGCTGCATATGCCAGGCTAGCTGGCCTCGTGCTCCTGAGCAGTTTGCCTGTCTCTGCCTCCCGTCTTGCTGTAGGGCTGTAGGGCCATAGGTATACAGCACATCTGTTTTTGATGGGGGGGGGGTATGGAGATTGAGCTCAGTCATCAGTCTTGCACAGCCAGCATCTTTACCTGCGGAGCCGTCTTCCAGGCTCCTTCTGCTGCTTGCATTGCCCACTGAGGCAGGAGCTGCCAGTCGTCCTTAGTAGCTTCTTCACTCATTTTCTTCCCTTTTGATTGTTATTCCAATTGTACAAATTTATGGGCTATAATGAGATAATTAAATACATATGTTCAATGTGTAGTGATCAAACCGGGCAATTAGCATTTCCATCTACTTAACACTGATAAATTTCTGATAGTATGTATTTATTAGATACGATATTTACTGGTGCTCTAGTCACAACAGCTAAGAAACAGGACCACACTACCCTCCCACCAATGGATGAATGGGTAAAGAAAAATGTTTTAATAGCCTGATACCTGTCTTTAAGAAATAAAATTTTGTCGAAGCATAGTCAGTTGCATTAATCTAGGTGTGGCCCATAGATACTTCCCTACTGCAATTGCAGAGTGAACTCATTCAGACAGAGGAAAAAAAAAAAAAAAAAACCTCACAAGGCATAAAATATTGCCAGCTTGTCTTTTTCAGAGAAAAAAACAAAACAACAACAACAAAAAACCTCATTGGCCCTCATTCTATAATAGAAGCCACAACTTCAAGAGCATAGAAGAAAGAATTTACTAGCTATCCTGAAGACATGTCCTGGGTCTAAAGGCTGAAGATAAAGCATAAGTGAGTATGTGGTCACCGGGTAAGTTGCCCATGCTCATATGGACAACACTAATTGAACTCCATGGGCTACTTAAAAAAGACTTGAAGGTAAGAGTAGGAACTGTTTCAGGGGACGGGGCTGGGTGCAGGGAGTGGGGGGAGCTGGGGTGGTTGTGATCAAGATACACTGAACACATGTAGGAAATGTTAAAGGAAAAGGAAAAGTATTTTAAAGAGCAAGAGTGAAATCGAGCTGTTTTCAGCTATACACAAACTTTTTAAAAATAAATGAAATAATGAGATCCTGAGTCCAATTGGTAAAACCATCTTTATGGAGAGTTAGTCTGTATCTTCTTCATTTTTGTCGAAAGCTGTAACTTCTAGGTTTATCATCCCTGTCCTTAATTGGCTAAGGACAGGATGTAATTTCTGGTACTGATAATGACTATTAAGCAAAATTGTCACTCCCCAATAATTGAGAATGTCAAATCCAAAATGTGTCATCACAAATTAATCGATATTTGTTGGGGAAAAAATAAATCAGGGACATATTGCCTGTGTCCCTCAAGCTGTGACTTTCTGTTTGCCTTCTTTGTTAGGTAGTGAAAATCTGTCCCATCGTGCCAGGCAGGAAACCTATACCTGGTGACACAGCAGGTGTGAGGCACACGTCTTAACAAAATGCCTGTTTATTAATTTAATTAGCACCTGTGATCCCAGAAGCTAAGAGTGAGAAGCCAAAACATAGACTATAAAATCTCCTCTCCCGCCACAGTTCCGCATCCTGAAGCCATTTGTTGTGTTTACTCCTCTTCCTGGGATTAAAAAGGTGAAAATGGAGCCGACATAGAGGTGCACAGCTTTCTTCCCAGCACTGGAAAGGTGGAGGCAGGGGGATGTCTGTGAGTTCGAGGCCAGCCTGGTCTACAGAGCAAGTGCCAGGACAGCCAGGGCTACTCACATATCTACCCTGTCTGGCAGCGGAGGTGTAAAAATGAGCTTTTTTTTTTTTTCAGAAATGTGGTGGTTTACCTATCCATTTCATTTTGCTTTGAGAGAAAAGGTTTGGGCGTTGACAAATGGGTGTAATTAAAATGTTTAGAGCAGAGTCTTAGACTCTGCGGTGGTAATAAGCATCACTTGGCATCAGCTTCTCACTTTCCAGAATACTGATGCCTGTGGGTGTGCGGCGTTTGTTTAAAATCATGGGAAAATCTGGACGAGGAGCCAAGCTTGATCTTATACACCCCAGACTCTTTCTACAAAGTGCAAGCACTCTTCTAGCCCCAGCCTCATCATTTTATAAGGGCACTCAACATTGAGCTTGTATGACAGCTTGTGCTCCCATAGAGGATGTTTCCCAGGGAGCTTGACCTTCTCATGGGGTGCCTACAGGGTTAGGATGATGACAGGCAAATCATGGATGCCAATAAACAAATCTAATCAAATATTCTGCCATCCAGGACAATCAGTAAAACCTTACAAATTCAGCAGTCTTCTTAGTGTATGGATTTGGATCCACCAGGAAAACTACAGGATGTAAACATCACTCCAACCATCATGTCATTACTTTTTTTGTTTATTTAAGACAGGGTCTCACTATGTGGCCTTGGTTGGCCTGCAACTCACTATGTAGACAGTTTGGCCTCATACTCATAGAGATTTGCCTGCCTCTAGACCTCACATTCACTACACGCCTTGCTATATACTATTGCTTTGTTGTTTTCTTTGTAACATAGTAACAACCCCAATTCTCTTTCAATTGTAGAAAACTGCTCATTAGTTTTTAGTGACAGACCAAAAATAGAGAACAAATGATTGATTCACATAACAGAAAAATTTAGACTATAATAACTTCAGACAAGCTTGGATCCAGATGTTAAACCACATCATTAAGAGTCCGTTTCCATCTGCCCACATTGCTTCCTTCTGTGTTAGCTGCCATCTTGAGCCACCTCTTGATTTGTGATGATAAAAAAGACTACTGACAGCTGCTTGCTTGCATCAACTCACTTAGTGACCTCAGAGGGGTCATGAGTGTAACCTGGAATTGTTACGTGTGGTCAAACTGTTTGAACCATATGAACAGAGAAGCATGTGGTGGGGAAGGCCTGTTGGAATGCCGAGGTAATGTTAAAAAACAACGGGCTTTGGGGACAAAGTAGGACAATATCCTCATTTGTAAAGTTTGCCAGCTTCCTTGTAGAGCTTGCACTAGGGCAGGTTTCAAGTCACCAATGTAGTTTCTGAACTGGGAGGAGGAGCACCCTGTTATACCTCTACCTTACTGAGAAATTTCTACAGCTTTGAGACCCTGAGGAATAAGAAAGTGCAGTAAAATAATTAGAAAGTGATGGCTTCTGAGTATAGATTAATTTTTTTTTAAGTTTTTCTTTTGAACAGGGTCTCATGTAGCCCAGGCTGGCCCCAAACCCCCATGTGAGTTGAAGATGACTTTGAACTCAATGAGATGGTAGGCATATGACTTCATGTGCAGTTTATGCCCTGCTGGGGATCAAACCCAGATCTTTGTGCATACCAGGCAAACATCCTACCAAACCAGCTACATCTCCAGCCTCTGTAACTCCTATTTTTTAACAGTGTATTGAACTTTCTGCAGTTTCACTGCCTTGCATTCCAAGGGCTGAGATTATATAGGTGTGATACCGTACCTGTCTTAAATAATTTGAGTTTAGACACACAATTTAATGTTTAAAAAATGACTATGTGTGGCTATCCAAATTCCTGAGAAGATGTCTTAAAAATTGGCCCTTGTGAGTTAGTCCCTGCCTACTGTATTGACTGACAAATATTGCAAAGGGGGTTTCTGTTATTCTTTCCTAAAGGGAGGCTGAATACTAAGTAGACAAGAGATAGATATCTTATCTCTTATAAGTAAGAGATAAGATTTCAGTGAGTGTTAGAAATTGGCGATATTGTAGCTTGAGGACATTCAAAATAAAATTTTTATTCTTGCCACAAGTTATTTCCAGAGAACATTTGTAAGAACTAGAGAGACACGAAGACCTTGTGTATGCTTACCTCTTAAGGTGTCAAGAGGTAACAGCTCTTGAGCATTTCAGACCTGAAGCATTGGTGAATACACATTGACTTAGAGACCACACCTGTGACCCTGAACAGTGGCCTTCAGACATACTGCTCCTATTATAACCTGTGACTGGAGACCAGGCTGCTCTAAGTCATTCCTTGTTGTGCAAAGAGTAGCTAGCTTTCAGCCTGCTTTGCCCTGTGTGGCTGATCTTTATAAGCAGTATTGACTCCATTTTAAATACAAATGCTGAGAAGGAATGACTCTGTCCCTTGTTTATGCAAATAAACAACCACCAGGTGTCTAGCACCAGCCGTGGCACAGAGTGATGCCTAACTTACTCACTGAAGTCAAATATTCTTAACTATGAACCTGTGAAAGTCAGGAGCACAGGAAAACCCTGGCACAGCAAGCCTGTGTTGGAGAGAACCTTGCCCAGTAAGACACCCTCGTGGGAAAGTCAATTATTCTGCTCTTTCCTCTCATTTGAGCATAGTGAGGGCTAATGCAGTTAGTATTCCAGACACCTACACACACACAAAGATGACTTCTCAAGTCCCTGGAAGGAGTTTGGGTATCTCCACTTCTGTCACTAATTCTTTATTGCTTCCATCAAGGAAAGCTGAAAATAAGTATGCCAGAAATCTAGTTTTTCTAAGCCCAGCTCTCAAGCAGCTAAGTGGAATGTAGAGGAGTAGACCACAGTTAAGAGCTGTGGAGCCATCCTGCAGCAGACCTGGGTTTGGTTCCCAGCACTCACAGGACCGCTAACAACCATCTGTGATCCCAGTTCCAGAGGATCTGACACTCTCTTCTGACCCCCAAGAGCACCAGATATGCACATGAATCACAAACATACATGCAGAGCAGCACTCAGACACCTAAAATAAAATAAATTAAGTTTTTTTTTTTGTTTTTTTTTGTTTTTTTTTGTAACAAAGGGAATCAGAGAACTCTTCTGATTATCCCCTGAAGTTCTGAAGAAGAAAATCAGATTCCTGAAGGGGTTGGGGACAGTGGGTTAGGGTGAGCTGGAGAGGAAAGCATGCATACTGAAAGCCCCTCACAGATGCTGAAAAGGAACAGAACTTTCTTGCTCATCTTGGAATAGCGTCTCCTGTTAAATCTGGTATTCTAGGATGCAAATTCTGGCACATGAGTTCATTTAATAATCTTACTAAACAGGCCTTTGCTTTTTGAAGGGAGGCTAAAAGTTGGTGATTCCAAAGCAACTAGCTATGGTGTAGGGACCTAGTTCAGCTGGTAGAGCACTTGCCCAGCAAGCACAAAGCTCAATCCCCAGCTCTGAATAAAACAGGCATGGTGGTGCACTCGTGTAATACCAGCACTCAGGGGCTGGAGGCAGAAGGACCAGGAGTTCAAGGTTGTCCTCAGCTACATTTGAGTATAATACAAGCACGTGACCTGTCTTAAAACAACAACAATTTTTAAAAAACCTAAACAAAGCAAAAAACAAACAAACAAAAAAACACAATCACTTATGAAATTGTAGAATTTATACAATTATGGTCATGTAATTCAATATCTAATGTAACATGATACAACATTTCTTTTATCTATGTTGTTATTGCTAAAATCAAATCTTTGCAAGATATTCTGGCTATTCATTTGCCTCCTTGAGATGGGCCTACAACTTTGTACTGGTGCCAGTTTTTACGAATGTGACTACTAGATTGATGGTACCTTGTTATTCTGTCTGCTTTAAACAGCAGTTTAGAATTTTGTACATTAGAAAAAATCAGTGCTAATTAAATTGAATCTCTTGTCATTTCTCAGAAAGAAAGCCAAAGGTGTAAAATTTTAATTTTTTAAAAACATGTTGGTTTGGTTTTTTACTGTTTTATTGGGTGGCATTGCATACTACACTATGTGTGTGGAGGTCAGAGGATGACTTGTGAGCACCTTCACCTGCTAAGCTATCTATCTCACCATCACCAAAGACACGGTGTTTTAAAAAGACGGATGGAGAGATGGCTCAGTGGTTGCTGCAAAGGACTTGAGTTTGATTCCCAGTACTCATATCCCAGCATCCAGGTCACAACTTCCTGTAACTCCAGCTCCAGGGGATCTGACACCTCTGGCCTTTGAGGGCACCTGCACTCACACGCATACCCACACATAAGCAAACACATACACACAATTAAGAGACACATAAACAAAGCTTTAAGATTGTAAGTCAGTAAAACACAATAGACAACTTATGCCCTCAGCACAGACCTATGCATTCCTTATTCTCTACATTTTCAAGAAAACCAGTATCTTGGAGACATAGGTCAAATAGCACTTGTTAGGTGACATTCTTGCTTCCTCATCAGACATTTTGTTTATTGACAGCTTTCAAAATTAACCATGTTTAGCCAGGCATTGGTGGCGCACGCCTTTAATCCCAGCACCCAGGAAGCAGAGGCAGGCAGATCTCTGTGAGATTGAGACCAGCCTGGTCTACAAGAGCTAGTTCCAGGACAGTCTCCAAAGTCGCAGAGAAACCCTGTCTCGAAAACCAAATTAATAATAATAATAATAATAATAATAATAATAATAATAATAATAATGTAGTGAAAAAATGGTCTACAAGAGCTAGTTCCAGGACAGTCTCCAAAGTCGCAGAGAAACCCTGTCTCGAAAACCAAATTAATAATAATAATAATAATAATAATAATAATAATAATAATAATAATGTAGGGGAAGCTGTAGCCAGCCCATATAGTAAGAAATTACCGGTACGGAGTCAGGTAGAAATATAAGGGTATTTAATAGGGAAAAGCCTTACTTACAGAGCGAACCAGCCAGCCGGTGGTAGTCTGTACAGCAAGAAGCAAAGAGAAACCGAAACCGAAAACGCAGTCCCCCTACTCAATCTGACCATGACCTCACAAGCCCTCAGGTACTCTTGTAGCCAGCCCCTAAGAAGGCGTGGCTACAGCTTCCTCTACATAATAATAATAATAAACCATACTTTTAGCAGGCATCATTTTTGTGTTTGAAATAAATGCACAATTTCATCCATACAATACATACATGCACACACGTGTACACACACAATCAGAAAAAATAGGCTAATGAATTTATCAAACATATCAGAACAACAAAGGTTGCAGCCCTTCAACTTGGACCATATAAAAGGAATGACCCCTTAAACTAGGGCATGGTAACATCAGACTATCTCATGGGCCAGAGCTGTCACCTCTCTCCCTGGGTCTACAGCTCAGTATGATGTCACTGATGGATATGGCCCAGTCACGTTGCCTTGTACCCACACCCAGGTGGCCCTGCAGCCCTGTGCCTCACTGTCTCACCTGACTTTGCCTTGAGCTTGAATGTGGATCTTCACCTTCCAGTGGCTCTTGGCCTGGCCTCCTTAGCTAACCATCTACTGATACTTTTGATTCTTTGCTTCTTGTCAACTCTCTGCCTCTGCCTTCAGTGCAGCTTCTTTGAATAAAGGAGCTCCTTTTAACTCATTCTCAGCCATTTTAATACATACAGTTGTGTGATGTATACTAAGTGAGCTGAGGGCTAATGCTCAGCAATAAAGACTGGAATAAAATAAGTTACAATTGCAAACCGCTACACATCGAGTGGCATCAGGGTTATTTAGCAACAAGTAATCACCAACAACAATCACCAACAAGGTCAATATCACTTGTGAAGTTATCATTATTAAATAAATTCCAAAATGACACAAACATATCCAGCCACGCTTCTGACATGGGCGTGCCCACAACAAAATCAAAATTAGTCACTGAAAAAAATTCAGAAAAATCCTTTGTAAACTAATGGAAGCCTGCATTGTCTTTAAGTGTGTCTGTGTGCACCAGGTATATGCAGGAGCCCTCAGAGGTCAGAACAGACATCGGATCTCCTGGAACAGGAGTTACAGGTAGTTGTGAGAAAGTTATTAGTCACTGTGACAGAATAACCAAAGAAAGCAACTTAAGAGAAGGGCTTACTTCTGCTCCTGGTTTCAGTCTGTAGGAATCTGGCTTCACTGCTTTTTTTAGGGCTGTCTAGGGTAAGGCAGAACATCACGGCAAAGAGCACTGTCGGAGTAAAATAGGTGGTCAGACAGCAAAGAGCCATAGGAAGGGCTTCAGACAAAATATAACCTTCAAAGATATGACCCCAGTGACCTACTTCCTCCAACAGGGACCCAACCCCTAGCTTCCACCACCTCCCTGATAATGCCATTAAATTATGACCCTATTAATGGATTTGCTTATTGATGAGGCCGGAGCACTATGATCCAATTACTTCTACAAAGCATCAACTTAGTCTTTGCATTACTGACAAGTCCTTCAACACACTAAACTCCAGGAGACATTTCATAATCCAAACTCAGCAGAAGGCTGTTGGAAGACAGGTGACCTGTTTCTGAGGACACAGCCTGAGGTTAGACATTAATTCCAGTAGGGTTTTCCAAGCTGAATATGCACTAAATCAGTACCCATTTTACCTACCTTTGGAGAGAAAGTCATCTTTCTGGTTAGAAAGCTGAAATGATTAGCACTTAATCATCCTAATTGTTCATACCACACATTAGAAAAAGTCAGACTCTCTAATGCTATAATTATGGCATCTTAAAGCGCCTGTGTACTACAGCTGTTCCCTAGACACCCTGCTAAAATAGCTTCTGGCGAGAGTTCCCCCAGTTTAAAGGAGATTTATACCTTATATCTGAAGCCTGTTTCTTTTGATTTTTATGTCTCAGTCTTGGTGGACCAGATGCCTTAAGCAGATGGGAATTTGGTCCCTTAAATAGTCTGTCTGTTGTATACCTGCTGACATTATTTCTTCCCATTTGTGTTGAATTGCAGATACTTTTGCCTGCAGGCTTCTCCAGCCACACATTAAATTACACCTACATTTAATTTCCATCCTAAACACAGTCTCTTGGAACAGCAAATAAAACACCCAATTAGGACACTGTAAATTCCAAGTATAACAATATATGGAGAACAGGAACAATTGTGTAAATACAGAATTTAAGAAAGGGTAAGCGAAGGCTGGCAAGGCGGCTCTGCCAGTACAGGCACTTTCCATGAAAGCCTAACGATGGGTAATGAATTTCCAGGATCCATGTCGTAGAAGGAATGGACTGACATCAACTCCTACAAGCTGACCTAAGTATACACCACGCCATGTGCATGCCCACACTTTTCCCTGCCCCACCTCTCATAATGTAAATTAATAAGTAAATAAACAGAAAGGCTAGGCCATATTCACCAATACTGTTAACTCGTCCCCTCCACCTATATACAGAGACAAATATAATGTTTTGTTTTAAAATATCTATTTTATTTTGTGGTGTGTGTGTGTGTGTGTGTGTGTGTGTGTGTGAGTGTGTGTGTGTGTGCGTGTGTGTGTGTGTGTGTGTGTGTGTGTGTTTACCTGCACATATGTATATGAACCACATGCATGTAGTATCTGCAGAGACCAGAAGAAGGCCTCAGGTCCCCTGGAATGGTAGGTACAGTCAGTTGTGAGCTTCCAGAGTGGCCAGTGCTCTTAACTCCCAAGCCATTTCTTCAGCTCCAAAAACAGAATATTTTCAAACCATCACCAAATGTTCCTGTTATCCTAAGAATTCATAGAATATGATTTTGCACAGGTGACTTTGTCACACAACTAAACAACTATGCCTCTAAGAATCAAACCTTTGCAGCTAGAGAGCTGACCCAAGGGTTTGAAGCACTTGTTGCTCTTGAAAAGAATTTGGGCTCAATTTTTCAGCATCCACCTGGCTTACAAACATCCCTAAATTTCAGTTTCAGGGGATCAGATACCCGCTTCTGGTTTCCACAAACACAAGGCATGCACTGGGTATACATGCCAACAAAACATTCACGCACATAAAATGAAAATAAATAAATCTTAAAATTAACCAAACCTTTAAAACTATAATAATTCTTACTTGAATACTTTTCTAGATGTGTTCTATTAAATTCATAAATATTTAATCCACTTCATCATGATAGTCTTCCTTCTAGGCTGTGTCTCTTGAGCTACATATTTGCTACAGATAGCACAACGAGACAAAAATAAGGCTTGTTCATTTCCTTTCAATTCCACAAACATTTGCTCTTGTTTCCAGACATGATGCTGGGTCCTAAGAATAGAAATGAATGAAACACGGGTCCTGTGTCCAGGGTTGTTCCTTCTCATAGGGAATGTGCAGTAAGAAGTCCAAGACAACTGGCCTAAAACACATGAACAAGACTCAATCATAAGAAACTTTGGACTTCATTCTGAAGTAGTTTACAAGGAGAATCACCTGATCAGACTCAAGGGATTACCTAAGGGGCAGTATGAGTGTGCCGGGCAACAGCAAATTCAAATCCAGGAGGAAGAGATTGGAGAAGCCTAACTCTAGCCTGAAGGAGAAATCATACAGCATGAACTAAGGTGGAAATGGACTTAGATAGAACTGATCTGGCGTCCATCTAAATGGCACAGTAAGGAAGGAAAAATCTGGGAAGATTTCTGAGTCTCTTGCTAAAATAACTTAGTATATGATGTCATGAACCTAGAAGGGGAATTTGAAAGAATGGACTTGCCAGGGAAAGTACTGAAATCTCTTGGGTTTTTTTTTTTTGGGGGGGGGAGTGGTACAGGGACTTGTTTGGAGTTTTGTTTTTATTTTTTAAGACGAGGTCTCACTATATAGCCCAGGCTGACCTCAAATCCATATGTCCACTGCCTCAGCCTCCAAAGTATTGCAATTATAAATGTATGTCAATACACCAGACACTCTGAATTTGTTTTGTTTTGTTTTGTTTTGTTTTTATTCAATCAGCACTTTTAACCACATAGGCTAGGTCAGTCACTACACTGACACTAGAGATACAACAGTAAACAAAGAGACAAAATTCCTTAAGACCTGAGGTTACAAAATAGGATTTGCTGAACAGTCTTCTAAATACATTCGTAAACACATCAGCTGAGATGAAAGAAGAAAGGGTGACTCTATGAGGGTTTTTAACTAAAACCACTGAAGAAGTTTTAATTCCAAGAGAGTTAAAGGAGCCTCCTGGAGAATCAGTCTTGGATAAGAGAAAGACGAGTGTGAGCCAAATGACGGAGGGTGGAAACAGAAACTCCAAAGCTGTGTAGTGGAAGTAAAATAGTCTCAAGGAAGGCGTAGGACATGAAACTAGAAATGTGGACAGATGCCAGCTCACAAGAGGCCATGAAAGCAGTCTGAAGGACTGCCAGTGTGTACCAGTGTGACAATGACGTTGTCGTGTCTTTACCCATTTCCATGCCAGTTCTTGTGTTTAGAATGTGAAATGTCCCCCCCCCCCAGAGACTCATGTTTTGAATGGTTGGTCCTCAATTGGCACTTTTTGGTAGGTTATGGAACTCTTAAGACTTAGCAAAAGTGGGCCATTGGGGGATAGGCCTTGAGGTTTTACCAGTAGATCACTCCTTCGGTTGGTTCTATACTTCCTGGCTATGTAGGCAACGTGGCCTGCTGCCTCATGCTTCTACTTCCATCCTTCCCTACCGTAATAATAAACTGTATCTCTTTAAATCATAAGCCAAAATAAACCTTGTCCATTGAGTTGCTCTTTTTCAGGTATTTGGTCATTGCTACAGGGAAAGTAACTAAGACAACAGTTGACACACAGCTGTTACTTTGAGGGGCTCTAGTGTCATTGTGCCCCTCAAACTTCTTCATCCCCACAGTTGTCACCATAGGTGTTCATCCCCATTCTGTCTTTGTCCAGCATATATTTCTGATGAGTCAGAACCTGTTCACTAATAGTCATCAAATATTTTGACAAGAATAATGAGACACCTTTGAAGTAGGTGACATGATCAGATACATGTTTTGAGAATAGCATTCCAAGTACAGGGTGAATAAGAGATTGGGGAGAATCCAAGGAGAAGATAGATGTTAGTAACTGATTCATACTGGCTTCTATTAAGGGTACTGACTGTGGTGAAGATGTAGAGAAACAAACAGATTCAAAACATAGAGAAGAAATCACAATCAAAATCCTAACACTTAGGACAGTGAGGTGGCCCTTGTTGCCAAGCCTGATAATCTGAGTTTGCTCCCTGGGACCTTCATGGTGGAAGAAAAGAACAAATTCTTTCAGGTCATCCTCTGACCTCCACAAATGCACTATGGTATGCCCAAACAAACAAACAAATAAAATGTAATTAAGAAGAAAGTAAAAATTTCAGCAGGTGGCATTAAAGAAATCAACAGCCTGGCTTTAAAGTGTATGAGGAGATAAAAAAAATTTTGGTGGGTCAAAGTCTAGAATATCAAAAAGAAAAGCAAAGTTGAAAGACAACACTCCCTGATTGCAAGAGCTACTAGAAGAGCCAAGGCATTCAGGATGGTGTCTTATAGCATAAGTATAAACAAGACATTGCAAATGGGATGTAGTGTGTGCATGCACACGTGTGTAGTCACATGTACCTATTTGGTCATGGAGCTCAGAAGTCAACTTCCAGTGTTGTTCCTCAGGAACAATCCATTTTTTTTTATTTTATTATATTTTTTCAAACATAGTCTCCCACTGGCTTGGAACTTTCTGAGCAGGCTACATTGGCTGGCCAGTGAGCCTCGGGGTCTGCCTGCCTCTGTCTCCCTAATGCTGAGATCACAGTGCATACCCCCATGCTTATTAGGCTCTCCTGTTAGTAAGACATTTTACTTAGTGAGCCATCTCCCCAGGCTCCTGGCGTTTCTTTCTTAATTTCCCCTGAGTTGCTTGTTGTTGGCAGGAATACAACAGATTTTCAAGTCTTGGGTTTGTATCCTGCAACATGGTTAAGTTTATTACTGTCTCTAAAAAAATTTTTTTGTGAACTCTTTAGGGTTTCTACTTATAAACACCATCTGTATATAGAAATAGTTTTACTTCTTCATTTCCAGATCAGATCACTTTTATCTTCTGTCTGACTGCTCTGGCTAGACCTTCCATTACTGTGACAAGCGAAAGGTGCAAAAGAAGACATCCTTATCTCACTTCTGTCCTATCAGGAAAGTTGTCAGCTTTTCACCATGAACTTAATATCAGCTGTG